GAACCCAGGGCCTCAGGCATGCAAGGCAAGCGCTCTACTACTGAGCCACCTTTCCAGCCCAAGACTGCTGCTTTGTGGCCATGAGTTCCCCATCAGATTTTTTTTTTTCTTCTTTTTTGGTCGGTTGTGGGGCCTGAACTCTGGGCCTGGGTGCTGTCCCTCAGCTTTCAGCTCAAGGCTAGCGCTCTACCACTTGAGCCACAACGCCACTTCTGGCTTTTTCTGCTTATGTGGTGCTAAGGAATCGAACCCAGGGCCTTATGCATGCAAGGCAAGCACTCTACCACTGAGCCACCTTCCCAGCCCCCCCTTAGATGTTTTAAAGGGCTTTTTTTTTCTGTCTTGGAAGCTAGTATCTTGCTAAGTATTCCAGACAGGCCTCTAACCTGAGATCTGCTTCATCTTCTGGTTCTTGGGTGAATCCTGTATGCAACACTACATCTGGCTTTCAAAATCATCCTGTACCACAAATATTTAAGTGTGTTGCTATGTTTTTTATTGTTATGTTGAAGTGTCTTACTAAGATACGGAATAAAACTATCAGACCAGCCTTTTGAACCTGGCTGTCAGAGTTTTCTTTGTAATATCTTATACCTGTTGACTTTTTTTCCCCCCCCAGTTGGTCATGGGCTTGAACTCTGGGATTGGTGGCTGTCCCTCAGCTCTTCAGCTCAAGGCGAGCGCTCAACCACTTGAGCCACAGCGCCACTTCTGGTTTTCTAGTGGTTTATTGGAGATAAGAGTCTCACGGACTTTCCTGCCTGGGCTGGCTTTGAACCTCGATCCTCAGATGTCAGCCTCCTGAGCAGCTAGGATTACAGGCGTGAGCCACTGGCCCCCGGCTACCTGTTGACTTTTTGTTTGTTTTGCCAGTCCCAAGGCTTGAACTCAGGGCCTGGGCGCTGTCCCTGTGCTACCATTTGAGCCACAGTGCCACTTCTGGCTTTTTCGGTTTATGTGGTGTTGAAGAATCAAACCTAGGGCTTCATGCATTCTAAGTGAACATTCTACCACTGAGCTACCTTCTCAACCCACCTGCTGACTTTTAACTTAATTATATTTAGCCAAGAGAAAAAAACAGGCTGACTTTTGTGTGTGTATATGCTGGTCCTGAGGCTGGAACTTAGGGCCCTGAGCTTTTATACTCATAGCTAGTGCTCTACCACTTGAGCCACCGTTTCACACTTCTGGGTCTTTTTGGTGCTTAATTTGAGATAACACTCTCAGACTTTTCCTGCCTTGGCTGGCTTTGAATCACAGTCTTCAGATCTCCGTCTCCTGAGTATCTAGGTTTGTGGGAGTGAGCCACTGGGTTCTGGCCCATAGTTGATTTAATAGCCACAGCCTGTTTAGTTGCACCTGCTGTTGGATAGTCTCCCTGCACCCTGCCAGCTCTTACAGAGCCTGTAGCTCCCTGGCTTTGCAGGGTTGACATGAGTCCCCTTTCCTTAGCCTGCACTTGACATTCTTCTTCCGGCTGTTTCCGTGTCAGAAACACAGAGGGTCAGAAATCTTAACATTTGGATTAAGAGGAGTGAGATGTGCTGGTACAGGCTCTGTGGTCAACGCTGCTGCTCTCTAGCATAATTGACTTCATTATCGTTGGGTTGAGTTGTCATGATTTTCAATTATCCCTCTCCATTTGTGAGAATGACCCTCTGCATTTGGCTGTAACTGGTTTATCCTCAGATTGACAGATCTCCAACCTTCATCTATATCTGGATTTATGTCTCTGAAGCAGATATAAATCTGAAGTTCCAGAATTAAGCCTTATCCAGATAGAAATGTCCTTTGCTTTGTAAGAAAGTGTTGATACACTGCCGGGCACTGGTGGCTCACTCCTGTAATCCTAGCTACTCAGGAGGCTAAGATCTGAGGATCCATGTTCAAAGCCAGCCCCAGCAGGAAAGTCTATTAGACTGTGTGTGTGTGTGTGTGTGTGTGTGTGTGTGTTTTGTGGGGCCTGAACTCTGGGCCTGGGCACTGTCCCTCAGCTCTTCAGCTCAAGGCTAGCACTCTACCACTTGAGCCACAGTGTCACTTCTCATTTTTTCTGATTGTGTGGTGCTGAGGAATCGAACCCAGGGCCTCATGCATGCAAGGCAAGCACTCTACCACTGAGCCACCTTCCCAGCCCTGTTAGACTCTTATCTCCAATAAACCACCAGAAAACTCCAATGATTCATCAGAAAACCGGAATTGGCACTGGGGCTCAAGTGGTAGAGCGCTCACCTTGACCTGGAGAGCTGAAGGACAGCACCCAGGCCCAGAGTTCAGGCCCCACGACCGACAAAAATAAAAAGAAAGTGTTGATACACCAACCTCATATGCAGCTTCTCAGGTGGTTTAGAGTGAGTTTGTTTTTGTTTTTGCCAGTCCTGAGGCTTGTACTCAAAGCCTGAGTGGTGTCTTTGAGCCTCTTGTTGCTGAAGGCTGGTTGCTCTACCACTTGAGCCACAGCACCTCTTTCCAGCCTTTTCTGAGTAGTTTATTGGAGACTCATGAGCTTTTCTGCCTGGGCTGGCGTGAACCACAATCCTCAGATCTCAGCCTCCTGAGTAGCTAGGATCACAGACATGAGCCACAAACACCTGGCTTAGAATGGATCTTACAAAACAAATTTCATTTTCTAGTGGTGTAGTGTGGGTGGTGAGCCAGTTTTTCTTCATTAAAATAACTATAACCTTCCAAGTTTTACTTCTGTCAAAAAACCTTAGAGGACTAGAAAGGTGGCAAAGTGTAGTAGAGTGCTTGCCTCCCATGTATGAGGCCGTAGGTTTGATTCCTCAGCACCACATAAACAGAAAAAGCCCTAAGTGGTGCTGTGGCTCAAGTGGTAGACAACTAGCCTTGAGCTGAATAGCTGAGGGACAGCGCCCAGGCCCAGAGTTCAGGCCCCACAACCAAAAAACAAAAAAACATCTTAGCTATCTCAATTACATGGTACCAGTGTTTGATCCCAGGAGGTAGTTACACGCTCACCCGAAGCCCGTGTCAATGGCCTACACCTGTAATCCTAGCTACTCAAGAGGCTGGGATCTGAAGAGGGTAGTTCAAAGCCAGCCTGGGTAAGAAGACTGAGTGTGTAGGTCACTGCTCACGTGGCAGTGGATGAAGCAGGTGGAGCCTGGTTCTGGTCAGCTGATCAGGTAGGAGAAGACACCCGGTGAGAGAGGGGATCCCGCTCGCTGGCGGCTGTGGAGGAGTCCCCAGTTTGGATCTCAGAGCTGCAGGGCTTACACGGGCTAGCCCGGCTAGTGGTGGCAGCGAGCAGGAGCTCCAGAAATGACTGGCCAAGCAGGGTTGGTGGGGAAGGGGGGAGTTGTGCCTTGCTGCAGGCCTGAAGGGAACCTGTGAGAGGGCGGCTCTGCTCACGTTGAAGTGGGTGTGAAGCAGGCCCAGTTGCTGCTTCCTCTGGAGGAGGGCTGGGGCAAACCCGTCATTAGTGCCATCTGATTGGAAATGCACACCGGTAACAGCTGACTTGAGCTGTGGGTTGGGCCAAGACTCCCCAGAGGCAGAGGTTGGGACCCTGAACCTGGTGGCTAGGGTCTGGAATACTAGCACAGGAAGCCAGTAAGCTGGGCCAGGAGAACAGACCCTACAGTATGGCTGGGATGGGACGGGGTACCCTGGCATGAGAGCCAGAGTGAATAGGTAAGGTGTTGAACGGCCAGGAGGCGGCTGGGCCGTGAGCTCTGTGGCTCTGAGGACTGAAGAGGTGCTTCAAGGCTGGTAGAGCAGAGGGTTCGCCTGTGTTCGGTTCTCCGCTGGATGAGACAGTGCTGATGGAGGGTTCAGTGGCACATACACACCCTGTCAGTAAGAAGCCTGCATGCTCTCTAGACCAGCCTTACCTCCCTTCCTTTCCCTTGTCACCAGCACAGGCAGGGCTGGTGGCCCTGTGTGACTTAGCTCAGCTAGATTGCTAGGCAGGGACAGGCTCGGGGTGGGGGTAAGTGGTGGAGCACTTGGCTAGCTTTTTCACATCTGTGTTCTTGACCCTCTATAGAAAGTCAGGTTTTTTTTTTCTCTGTGTGTGTGTGGTCATGAGACTTGAACTCAGGGCCTAGATGCTATACTTGAGCTCTTTGCTCAAGGCTAGCACTACCACTTTGAGTCACAGCTGCACTTCCGGTTTTCTGAGGTTCATTGGAGATAAGAGTCTCACGGACCATCCTGCCTAGGCTGGCTTTAAACCACAATCCTCAGATCTCAGCCTCCTGAATAGCTAGGATTACAGGCCTGCTCCACTGGCACCTGGCTTCGATTTTTCTCTAAAGTATGTTCATGAGTATTTGTGGAGCTAGTGTAACCTTTACTCTGACCTGCTCCCCCCGCCCCCACTTTTTTTGGTGTCAATACTGGGGTTTGAACTCATGGCCTGGATGCTGTCCCTTAGCTTTATCACTCACCGCTCACAGCTGCCACTCTACCACTGCCCTGCATATTTACCACCATCACCGCCGGCATTCCGGAGCACCCTGTACAACGCAGCCAAGGAGCCGGAGCTGTGAGACTTGGTTCAAAACTCCAGTAGCTCCTGTCACTTGGGAAGCATGGAATTCCTGATCTGCTTCTGCCCGCTGTCTTGTCCATGCCTTTAGCTGTACCACGGCCTCCTTCCTACCGTTGCCCCTGCCTCAGGCCCACTCCCCTCGGTCCTCTTGCAATACACCCCTTCCCCTCTCTAGGCCACGTTGCTGCTTCCCGCATTCTCCCATCCAGTGATGCGCCGCAGAGCTCTGTGGGGGCAGACACTGCATCTCTCTCGGCACCAGAGAGGGTCAGATCTATTCCCTTGCGATTAGTGTGCTCAGACCCCCTCTCCACAGTTGTATGCTGCATCCCACTTGCTTCTAGAGCCTGCCCAGAGGGGACTTGGCATGAGGCTGGCAAGCCAGTAGCCAGTCTGGATGCACAGAGTGTGATGCAGGTGCCAGGGAAGTGGGAGAGGCTAGTAAAGTGGCTAGGAGTAGTGTCCGATGCGCAGGCCAAGGAGAAAGTGGCCTCTTGTCTTCCCACAACCCAGGATGCCCAGGCCCTCAACTGAACTTGAGTTCTGTGGCCTGCGGTGCACTGTGCATTCCCGCCTTGCTTTCTGGAGCCTCTTGGCCGGCTGTGCAAACAGATCTGAGGACCGGCCACCCTGCTCCGTGCACTCACCGTCAGCAGAGAAACTGCCCTACACGTGCAAAAGGGGCTGCCGGTGCGCATCTGTCTGCCACATCTGCCTATGCCTCAGATGTGGGCGCTCGGGAGCGCCCAGAAAAGAGCCCTGCTCCAGGGTGCACCGGTGAGCCAGCAGATGGTGGTGGTCGCCTCAGGCGGGACTGAGCCAGACAGCCTGCGGCGCGGGGACACTTGGCAGAGTCGTCCAGGGTGGGCTGCTCTGGTCACATCTTGTCCCGTAGCTCTGTGAACAGCCAAACAGCATGGTGGTGGTGTCGGTGGTGTCAGCACTGTGGCGTGGTCTCAGGTGCCACACCCAGCTGCTTGCTCTGGGCTATGGAGTTTCTTGGAGTTGCCAGTATCTTGAATTTCTCTCCATTTATTTTAGGAGTAAAAGTCCCTCGCAATTTCCGCCTGTTGGAAGAACTCGAAGAAGGCCAGAAGGGAGTAGGAGATGGCACAGTTAGCTGGGGTCTGGAAGATGACGAAGACATGACCCTTACCAGATGGACAGGGATGATAATTGGGCCTCCAAGAGTAAGCGTCGAGCTGCGGCTATAATGTCAATGTCTTACATGCACTGTGCCTCCTTTACCCCGGGCGCTTGTCGCGGGCACGCCCGGGCTATACTCTCTCACATGTGCCTGCTCTGTCTGAGCACTTTCACTGTGTGTATTTGAGCCTCCTCTGATGCTGTTTAAGCCCTCGAATGGTAAGCACCCTGCCCGCGAAGACTCCTACTGTGACATTCCGTGACCATCTGGGCCACGGCCCGAGGTCGCTGTGCCCGTGGTGTAGTTTAGAACAAAGCGAGCGGCTCACCACTGAGCGCCTGGTGCTGGCAGAGCTGCCACCAGGCACCAGGTGAACGCGAGGAGGGAGGCTGCGCCCGTGCTCGCCATCCATCCTTTCAGTGTCCTAACTCACCGCAGCCGAGGCCCGCAGCGTCAGCCTGCTGCCCCAGGCCTCGGTGCCAGCCACCTTTCTTGAGGGCCCGTAGGAAACAGCAGGAAGTGTCATTCGCCTCCTGCGGGTCCTGGCGCTGTTGGGTCACCGCATCCCGTGTGACAGATGAGGAGGCCGTCTCAAATGTGGTCGCCTGCCCATTGTCACGTAGGGAGGACCGTGCTCCAGCCCGCCTCGGCACACTGCCGGCTTTACAAGCAGATAATGATGACGAATGACCCAGAGGCCACAGGAGAGGTTGCTGGGTGAATTCATAGCACGGGAGGCCCTGCCTGGGGGCGCAGGGCTGACTTGGTGTATTCCCTTCCGGCCTCACAGGCTTTGTTCCTTCCTGGGGTTTCGGGTTAGGCTCCAATCCGTCCCTGCACCCTGGGGAGGGCAGGGCACGGTGTGCAGAGTGAGGTCTGGACAGGCGCAGGAGTGTCCTGAGCTCCGCAGCACTCTTCTGTGACGGCGTCAGCTCGTGACCAGTGACTGCCTGTGCCTTTTTTTGGTGGTGCTTACGTAGCTGACTTACTCAGCTGGTGCTCTGCCGCTCGAACCACATCTCCAGCCTGGCATCTTGCTAGCTGATTGGAAGTGAGATTATAGGTGTCAGCTCCAGGCATTTGGCCACTTTTACCTTTTAATGTTTAAGTCAGTTTTGTTGCCGAATAGTTTTGTGTGATGGTCGTGGGGCATTGGTCTTTGGGGTTGTTTTTTGTTTTTGTTTTTTGTTTTTGTTTTTTTCAGTCCTGGGCTTGAACTCTGGGCCTGGGCGCTGTCCCTCAGCTCTTCAGCTCAAGGCGAGCACTTTGCCACTTAAGTCACAGCTCCACTTCCAGTTTTCTGGTGGTTTATTGGAGATAAGCATCTCACAGACTTTGCTGCTTGGGCTGGCTTTGAACCTCGATCCTCAGATCTCAGCCTCCTGAGTAGCTAGGATCATAGGCTTGAGCCACCGGTGCCTGGCCTAGGGGGTTCTGTTTTTGCTCCTTTTTTTCTCTTCCTTCCCTATGAAAACTGGGTTGTTCTGAATCTGTTCAATGCTAACGGCCACCTTCGCGGAGACCACTTCTTTGCTGTCTCTAAAGAACTTCTTCCTAAGATAGCTTCCTTTGGTTTCTTGTGAATGCTTGCACCTCTTCCTCTGGCCCCACCCCTATCTCCGCCCCAGGCTCTGGAAGTGCCTGGGGCTAGGGCAGGTGTGGGGGCAGACTACCAACTCGAGTGTAAGGCCACAGATTGTGTACTTAAAATCCTCTGTCTACCTAAGACTGGTTCGGTTTATCTCTTTACCAGGGAGAGGTCCTGACGAGAAAGCACTTCTCTTATGTCTGGTTTTTTGTGGTTTTTTATTTGTTTTTTAGGTGGGGGGAGATAGTGAGAGATAGTGTTTTTTGTGTGTTGCTGGAAACTGAAATCAAGATCTTGTGCCTGCTAGGCAGGCTTTACCTCTGAGCTGTCATTCCGGCCCACATCTGTTTTGTTTTGAGACAGGGTCTTGATTTGAAGTCCAGGCTAGCCTTGAATTAGTGACCCCTCCAACTACTTTAGCCTCCTGAGTGCTGAGATTACAGGAATGTACCTACCACTATGCTTTCACTTGCTTGGGTGGTACTCTACTACTTGAGTCACACCTCCAATCCCTGATTTTTGCTGATTAATTTGAAGATGGAATGTCTTGCCCTGGTTGGCCTCAAAACCATGTTCTTCCAGATTTCACCCTCCTGAGTAGCTAGGATTAGAGGCACTGCCCCTGAGTTCTTCAGCTCAAGGCAAGTGCTCTACCACTTGAGCCACAGCACCACTTCCAGTTTTCTGCTTGTTTATTGGAAATAAGAGTCTCATGGACTTTCCTACCTGGGCTGGCTTTGAACCATGATCCTCAGTTCTCAGCCTCCTAAATAGCTGGGATTACAGGGTGAATCATCAACGCCTGGCCTATCTTTTTAATAAGAGCTTTATTAAATGTAATCTTTAGGTTCTAGGGTATCTTTTTTTTTTTAATAGTGCTGTATTTGGAACCCAGAGCTTTGTGTTTGCACAGGCCAGGCAAGTGTGCCCTGCTGTTTTGTTGAGAAGGAATCTCCCTAAATTTGGCATGGGCCTCCTGAGCACTGGGATTGCAGTCATGTTCTACTACACCTGACTTAGGATAAACCTTCACCATTGCTAATCCCAGAACATTTCATGACGCCAAGGAGAAACCCAATTGATGTTGCTCCCCAACCCCCTCCAGAGATGGAGCCTCTGATCTGCTTTGGGATCCAAATCTACCTCCTCAGGACTGCATTGAGTGGAAGAGCGGGTGCTGTGTTTGTCCTGCTGCCCTTAATTAGCATAGCTCGCCTTGCAGCATCTCTTTGTGATCAAAGTGTTTCAGTGTAGAAATGCCACGTTGTGTTGGTTTATTAATTATTGGGGGATGTGCACGCACGCGCATGTGTGTGTGTGAGAGAGACAGAGACAGAGACAGAGTGTGTGTTTACATACCAATACCCAACATGAACTCAGGGCCTTGAGCTTTTGCTCAGTTTATTGCTCATGGCTGGCACTCCAGTATAACATTTTGCTGGCTAATTGGAGATAGACTCAACCTTTTCTTCCTAGGCTGTCTTCAAATCACAGGTCTCAGCCTCCTAAGTAGTTAAGTAACTACTTCCAGCATGGTAACTGTTTAACGTTTTTGCTGTTGTTGTTTTGTCAGTCCTGGGGCTTGAACCCTGAGTTAAGTGCCTGGCCTGGGCACTGCCCCTGAGCTGCTTTTGTTCAAGGCTAGCACTCTACCACTTGAGCCACAGCGCCACTTGCTGCTTTTTCTGTGTATGTGGTGCTGAGGAATCAAACTCAGGGCTTCAGGCATGCTAGGCAGGCGCTCTGCCACTGAGCCACATTCCCAGCCCTTTTTTTTTT